GGGCAGGGTGGGGGACAGGTGGCTCGGGGTAATGGGGGGGGTGTTGTCACTCAGGTGCCTTCTCCGTGGCAGGGGGACGGGGATCTTCGAGGACGTGGCAGTGACGGCGAAGCAGCAGGCGCTGCGGGGGGAGCTGGCCGAGCTGGCCAGGACGGAGAGGACGCTGGACCAGCTCCTGCAGGACTGTGCCCTGCAGCTCCGGCAGCTGACCGACGACGAAGCCAACCAGAGATATCCTTACTGGGGGACGTGGGGAGGGAGGACCAGGGGACAGGGTCTTGGGGACCCCTCTGAGTCTCTTCCCCTCCAGCTGGCTTCCCCCAGGCTGGGGGGGGATGTTCGGAGGCTGGGATGGGGGGTTGAGCCGTCCCGCTCGCAGCTCCTCTTTTTCCTATACCTCGTCCCCGTCCACGCTGGCGTACGTCACCTACCAGGACCTTCGTTCCATCAGCGACTTCCAGGAGCAGACGGTAATCGCTGTGAAGGCTCCCCCGGAGACGCAGCTGGAGGTGCCTGATTTCAGCGAGGTGCGTGTGGGGCTGGGGTCGGGGATGGAAGCTGTTTTCCCCCCCTTACAGCAGGGTCGGGGCTGCGGGTGCTGCTGCATCTGCCACGTCCTTGATGGGTTCATCTGGGGCACCCCAAGGGTGCAGCCCTGGGTGCTTTGGGGGCGTTTCCATGACCCTGAATTGGTCCTTTAGGGGTTGCAATGCCCTGTCTGCACCCCCCACAGGCTGGGGGCAGTGGGATGGGATATGGGGACCCCTTCTGGGTGCCCCCCCGAGCCTTGTTCTGCCCCCTCAGGACAACCTCCAGCTCCACCTGAAGAGCACCAATGGCCCCATCGAGGTGTACCTCTGCCCGGAGGAGATCACAGAGGAGAGCCCCACCAAGGACCACGGTGTCCCCTCTGCCGCCCCCTCCCCACGGGACCCTGCCAGACACCCTTCCCCACCAAACAGCCCCCAGCCAGCCCCACAGCCACTCCACACCATCCCCCAGAGCTGGGGGGGCACAGGAACCCCCTCCTCATCCCCATCTCTGCCTCTCACCGTCCCAGGGGGGCCCAGCTCGCTGCTGGAGGTGGAGGCCGGGCTCCTGGGCTCCCCCCCCCCACCTCCTGCAGCAGACGGAGGACCAGCTGCCCTGCACCCCCTCCCACCTGGACTCGGGACCCTTCGTCTCCTTCTCACCCCCCCTGGAACAGGACGACTATCTCTGGGGGTTGGAGGGTGAGGGTGTCAGTGACCTCTTTGAGGCATACGACTTGGGGGACCTGCTGAAGATTTGAGCCTCCCCCCAGTTCTCCATTGCTTTTGTCTCCTCTGGTCTCTTGTGTCCTGAGCACGTGAGGTCTCTGTGGGGCTGCTGGAGAGTGTGGGGTGGGTCGGGGAGTGCTGGATTTTCTGAGGGTGGTGGTGGGGGACTTGTGTAGCCACCTTGGGTGGCCTCTTCTTGCTGTCCTGGGTTGGTTGTCCCCTGGGGGCTGTGTTTGTCACCACGCTGGGCTCTGGGAGCACCCCGGGGAGGTGTGAGCCCCCGGGAAGGATCTGGCCAGGTCCCGTCCCAGTGCTGGCTGTAAAACTGAAGGGTGCCAGTGCTGATGCTCCTCACTGACCCCCAACGCCTCAGGGGCTGCTGGTGGACTGGGGGTGCCTTTGGGTGCACGGGGTGGGTTAGGGGCACCCCTGGGTGACAGAGAAACCTCTGCCCAGAATGGGCCATGCTGTGTGTGTGTGTGTCATGTTTTGGGACCACTCCAGTTGCTCCCAAGTTAGACTGGTTCTGGGGTCATGACAGGTCATTTTGAGCAGCATTTCCCTCCTGGTGTGGCTGGAATATCCTTAAAAAAATAATCAGGCAGCAACACTGAAGTCACCTGGCGAAGAGAGGGTGAAGCTGATGTGTGGTCACTGCACCCACAGCCTCCAAAATCAGCGTCTCTGGCAAATCTGTGGCCAGGACACGGAGTTATATTTCCTAGGGGACTGCAGCCCCTCTCAAACGGTCCATACCAGCTCCCTCCAGCCTCTTGGAGCTACTGGTGCTGAGGGTATCTAAACTGGAGTGTACTGGGAGGAATACTGTCAACCGGTGGCTGGAGCATCCGTCACCTGCAGAGAGGGGCTGGGGAAGCAGCCAGGGACAAGCCCCTGTGGACGCAGGGCTGGATACGGCTTTTAATTGTGTCATTGCAAAATGTGTGTAATCATTGCACTGTATTTATACAGGACCCTCATTTCAGCACGGCGCTGGCGAGGGTCGGGTTGGCGTTTTGATTTTTGAGTGTATTTAAGTTGTCCTTCCTCGGGTTGGTTCTGCGGTTTAGCTTGGAGGTGGTGCGGGTGAATGTGTTTTAGTGTGGAAAAACTTGTGGCACTTGATGTTTTCTGCCTGGGAGGGGATGAAATAAAACTTTGGAGTTGTAAGGGGCTGTTTTCCTCTAAGAAGCAAAATGCTGGGGTGGTTTGGGAGGAGGGAAGTGTTGGGCTGGTTTTACTCCCATTTTCAGTGTTTTGAGGCCTTTTAACTGGCTAGCCTGCTCCAGGGGAGCTGGTGGAGAAGGGGGCGGAGACGAAGCTGTGGTTGGAGTGAGGGAAAGGGGTCTGACCTGCTGTGGATCTGTGATTTCCAGCCCAAATCCACCTGGGATGAGCCTTTGCCTGAGCTTGAGCCCCCTGAACCAGGGGTGTGGGAAAAGCCCTGGGGCTGGGGGGCCGGGTCCTGGTATGGGCCGGGCTTGTGCACCCAAAGTTGAGGGCAGGTTTGGAGGCTGCAGAGCGAGACCCTGGTGGGGCTGTGTCCTTGGAGGGTCCTTCCTCAGGTTGCTGCCTCAGGTCACCTGCCCCTGCCAAGTCACCACGTGCCAGTGCTGATGCCATGGTGATGGCCAGTGGCACCCAGTGATGTCCAGGGTACCTGGTGATGGTCGGTGGTACCCAGTGGTGTCTAGTGGTACCTGGTGATGGTTGGTGGTACCTGGGGTGGTGGCACATGTTGGTGGTGCATCTCTTGTCTGGTGGGGCAGAGGAAGAGGAGGAAGAAGAGGAGGAGGAGGAGAACCCCGGGCCAGGTAAGCCAGGTGAGGGGCACAGGGTGCTGTAGCCACAGTGCTGACCCCATCCCCTGTGGGGCTGCGTGTCCCGCAGCAGCTGGGGGGGTGTCCCTGAGGCATGTCACACCCCCCCCCGCAGTCCCCAGGCCGGCCAGGAGGTGGCAGGGCCACCCCAGCAAAGGGGCTGTCCCCTGCCCCGCGCCTGGAGGGACCTCGGGGTACACCGGGGAGAAGCTGGGGGTCTGGGGGGGTCTCGGCGCTGGCGGGAGGGCTGCAGGGTTTTCTGGGGGGCTTCAAGCCCGGCCCACGCTGCTGTGAGCCTCTGCCTTGGCTTGTCCCTATGGCTGCTTTGCTGAGGCCAGGCTCCCCGCCTCATGTCCCACAAAAGAGGCTTTGGGGGTGCCTGTTTGCTGGGGGGGCTCTTACCCATCGGGAATCCCCAGATTCCTCCTGTTCCCGTCCTGCCAGCGCTGCAGCCTCTTAACCTTGTGTCTGCCAGAGCTCTGCCAAAGGAGATGTCCCAGGACCTCAACAGGTGCTGGGCCCCCCCAGATTGGGGTGGGCACCCCAAGGCCGGACTGTGGGCAGCTCTGCTGGGTTAGAGTAAGGCTCGGTCAGTCAGTAAGTCACAAACCTGAGTTTTACTGAGCTCCGCTCCAGGTTCAGTAAAGGGGACAGGGGTCTGTCACCCCCTGATCTACCCTGGGTAAGGGGTGCAGGAGCGAGGGGTGTGGGGAGGTGTCTGCAAAGCAACCTCACACCCATGTCATCCTCTCTCATGGCAAACCAGCCCCGCAGAGCACAGCTGAGGATTTTTATCCCCTCCCTTCCAGTTTGTCACCATCCCCATCCCCATGGCAGGATGCCCTCGGCCTGTGCCCGGCCTCAGCGCCTGCCCGCGGGGTGTCCGGGCTCCCCCATCATATGGGAAGAGGAAATAACCAGGGGATGGGACCCAAACTCCAGCTCCTCGGCCTGTGAGGGCTGGGACGAGGTGAGGGGACGGGTGGCTGCAGAGGTCCCCTCCGGTGGGGGCTCCGGGGGTGGCCCAAGAGGGGATTGTCCCCTCTGGCTCCAAGAAAGGGCAGGGTGGGGGTGACCTCCAGTTAAACCAGTGCTCGGCGGGGGCTGGGTTTAATCTCAGGCCATCCCTGCACTACTTGTGTGCCTTAAACTGGGCTTCGGGTGAGACCCCACTCCCGGCCCCTCCTGCCCCCCCATCTCCCACAGTGCCGGGACAGAACGGTGCTGCCCCTCCACCCCTGCCTTGTCACCCACCTCTGGGTGGGTGCTCGCCAGCCCC